TTAGGACTTATCCATACTACGTTACACTCTACAGGATCAGTCGGAAACGTGCATAGGCCTACACTTAGCCTGATTTAAAAAGCTGCGTTTGTAGCTAGAGTAGTATGCAGTAAAATCGATGGAATTATCTGAACATCTCATCGATGTCAAACAAACTCAAGTCTATGAACATTAATATGCTGTTGCGTGCAATCCAATTCTGCCCCAATCTAACGAATCTGGCGACTGTTGTCGGCAGCCTCATTAAGAACATGTAGCCCACCCAAAACCCACGCTGCATAAGGACCTGTCTGTAACCGGATCCTCTTTACCTCTTCTTCTTTCCTTCTTTCTTTTTTCGCTCTTTTTGATCTCAAGGGGGGGGATATTTGTACAGGCCCATCCCCTCATTCAAAGAGCAGGAGGGCGATGGCATACCCCCACCCCCACGATTTAGCGCCCGTGTTAGGATGCGGAGCGCTGCGCATAGACGCTAGCCGCAATAGGGCGTGTTGCAGCGCCGGGGCGGTAGCGCCTGCTCACGTGGAGCGAGCGGAAGGACGCGGCGGTGCTCGCAGGGGGGTGTCCCCCCCCTCGAGTTTGCAAAGAAAAATGAAATAACGCCTAAAAATACCGCATTGTCCGTTGCACATTTTTCTTGTATTCTATCATCATAATCGTTTACTTGTTGCTTGTCTTATTAACATTTCACAACATAATTTATTTTCCCTCTTTCTCCCTCCTCTCACTACACTCTCTCTCTCTCTCCTCTCTCTCTCGCTCTCTCTCCTCCCCTTTTTCTTCTCTCCTCTTTTCTTAAAATGTTTGTTTGGGTGACAGAGGGCAAGGGGGTGTTTAACACCCCAACACCCCGCCCCCTGCGTACGCCACTGTGGGTGTGTGTGTGTGTCTGTGGTGTGTGCGGCTTGCGTGCGTGTTGTCCATAGTTACACTGCTCACCGGGCTCAGTGCCGTGTGTGTGTGTGGTTGTGTGTGTGTGTGTGGTTCGCGTGCGTGCGGCGTGTGGGTGTAGTGTGTGGCTGAGTTTGTGTGGTGTGTGTGTGTGGTGTGCGTGCGAGCCACCCCGACGATCGTCGTCCGCGGTGCGTGGTGCATGTGCTTGAGCGGCGCGTCTGGTGTATTGCGTGCCTGGCTGTTGATGTCGTGTGGCTGCGTGTGTGTGCTGTGCTGTGTAGTGGTGTAACGTGCTGCGTCCGTGCGTCGCGTCCGCGTGTCGTAGGTGCGGTGCTGGGCGTCTGTGTATGCTCGCGTTGTGTCTGTGTGCGCGTTGTGGCTGCAGTGTGTGTGTGTAAGGCCGTGTCTCTTTCGTACGGTACCCGTGCGTAGCTGGCGCGTGGGTAAGGTCGCTCCTGTGCGCTGTGAGTGTGTGTGTAAGTGCGTGCGTGCGAAGTCTTACCCCCTCCGTGTGTAAAGGGTGCGTTGCGCGTGCGCGTGCGTGCGTGCGTGTCGGGCGTGTGGTAGGTCGGCGGCTGTGTGGTGTGTGTGTGCTATGTGATGGTGCCGTGGCGTGTGTAAGTGGTTGCGGCGATGTGTAGGTCGCTTGTGTCTCGTAGTGCGCGGTGTGAGTGTGTGTGTGCTAAGTGCAGTGCGGTGTCAGGCCGTTGCGGCGGCGTGTGTCTAGTGTGCGGTGTGATGAGCAGTCTGTGTGTGTTAAGTGCTGCGTGCGTGTGTAAGTTCCGTGCGTGCGGCGGCGCCGTGTGTATGCGTGTGCCTGCGTGGGCGTGTGTGTGCGCCGTGTCTAGTGTGTGTCGTGTCAACGTTGGTGCGTTTGCGTGGCGAGCCGTGCGTGCCGTGGTCGTGTAAGTTGCGTCAGGGTCGGTGTGTAGGTCGCGTGTGTCTGTGTGCGCGTGTGTGAGTGTGTGTGTGTAAGTCGCGTTTGACGTGCGTGCGGGCCCTCTGCGCTTGGTAGGACGCGGTGTTGACGTGCGATGGGTGCGTGTGTAAGTGCGTGCGTGCGTGTGTAAGTGCCGTGCCGTGCGGCGCGGGCGTGCAGCTGTTGTAGCTCGTGTGTGTGAGTTGTGGTGTGTAAAGTTGCGTGCGTTTGCGTGTGTGTAGAGTGCGTGCGTGCGTGCGCGGCGTGTGGCTGCAGTCGCGCAGTGTGTCGTGGAAGTGCGTGCGTGGTGGTAAGTCAGTGCGGCTTACTCCCGTTGAGGTCGCGTGCGTTGTCTGTCAGTGGCGCTGTTGTGACAGCGCAGGTGTGTGTTGTAAGTCTGTGGAGTGCCGCTGCGTGCGCTCGTGAAGTGCTGTGCGTGCGTGCCGGGCCCCCACATACCGTGTGTAAGTGTGCTGATGTAGGTGGGTGAGCAGCAGCGTGCTGTTAAGTGCAGTTGCCGGCCGGCGCTGCGGCTGGCGAGGCCCCAAGTGGCTCGTGCGTGTTAAGTGCTGTCCAGGGTCAGTTGTAGTCGTGCTATGCTGTCGTATAATATGCTGTCACATCGTGTTCGCTAGCCGATCGCCAACAACTCGGCGCATTCCGGTCAAATTTTCACGCTAAATTACCAATAACCCATGCAAGCAGCTTCAGACTCTGGTGATTACTTGTGAGCAATTGTGAACAATAATGCAGTCATATATTATATGAGAACAAACTTCAGAGATTATTATACTCGCGTCAGTGACATCGTGACAGTGATTTTTTCTATACCTTATAGTGCTGATATAGACGATTTCGCTGCAGGGAGTAGACGCGGCAAATCCATCCCAAATATTCAATTAAACGTGATTATGTCTATAGAAGATTATTTACGGCAAGGACCGTAGGATGAGCAAATCCTAAGGGGGGGGGCGAAAAATTTCCATGCGACTCACTGCGCGTAATGAGATGAGTGCGGGCGCTAGTTTTGATCGACTGTCTATACTCTTTATTAGTGTGTAGGGGTGAGTCTGAGACAAGGCTTTACACGAGATAAGTGAAAAAAAAATCCCTGCCTAGGGTTTATTACGATGATTAGCTAAGCTTATGTTTTAATTTTGCTTTACGAAAATCTAGCGGGGGACGACGATACCTTGCCCCTCCCCCGCAGGAGCTACGGGCCCTGGAGGCTCCCATTATATAGCTTTACCATTAATCACAAACGATTCAACGAGATCTCGAGAGGTCGTGCGTATGCCGTCGTCCAGATGCATGTGATGGTAAAATTCGACCTAAAAGTTTGAACTTTGGCAGCCAGCACCCGCCCAATTTTTTCCCTTGCTAAATACATAAAATGGTGTTCGCGTTACTGTCGCCGTTGCAAGCCATGAAGATAAATATCTTAAGCGGTATTGATCTTAGGCGGTTCGAAAGATGGCAGGGAATATCCACGCGAATGTGCATGTAAAATCTTACTACCAGTTTTCACTTGGGCAGCATCTCGCCACATTTTTCTGTATGTTAATGTCATAAAGAAGAAAGGGCGAAAGAGAAAAAATAGGAACAACCGTAGAGGTAAAATCTGACATTACATTAGATACATAATATATAGTATATCATGTATCTGTCATTATAATGAATATATAATTATATATTCATATAATTATATATATATATATATATATATATATATAATGACAGAGTCATATAAAGAGAAACAAAATGTAAAGAGGTAAACAATATTCTGTTCTGACAAAAACTATTTAAAAGGTTCTAGCTATGGTTCTATATGTTGTCAAAGCATATAACATCGGTGGTCTTTAATTCTTTCTGGAGCAAGAACGGTTTTGTGGGATTCAAACCCTTGAGCACGGTGACCCAACGTAAAGCTGACAATGAAAGAAGCATGGCGATGTTAGATTAAGGCCAGCGATTTTAAGGGATATGGAATGTCCAAGAGGTTTCCAGTAAGTTAATTCCACTGCATAATAAGAAACGTTCAGAAAACTAAAAATGTCCATTGCATAATATTGAAAAGTGACCTCTAGCGACTTGACATGACCTCGGCGGTCAGATTTGACCTCATCCGCCAAATATTTGTGGGGTCGAGGAACATTTTTGTACTTCATAACTAAGTCTGTATATCGCCTCGTTTAGCCAGAAATTGAAATGTTGTTCTTCCGCGACCTCCAATGGCGCTCATAGGGTCTGTCCCCCAGGGTACTGCCGGAACGTACCCTGGGTACGGTCCCAGGGGCGTGTACAGGGAGGGGGGGTCCAGGGGGTCCGGACCCTCCCCCTGCTCGCGCAGAAAACGCATCTATAAGGGGGTCTAATTTCAAAAAAAAATTTTGGGCCCCCCCCTTCAAATCCTGTACACGCCCCTGGGTCCGGTATACCGGAACGTACCCTGGTAACTATCTGATATGGTTAGGGTTAGGGAGTAGGCGTAGGCGTAGGTGACATATATGTACCTGAGGTAACTATCTGATATGGTTAGGGTTAGGGAGTAGGCGTAGGCAACTCCCTAGACTCGTTAGTGGAGTAGGCGAGGTACGGTCCGTCATATTAGATAGTACTGTACCAGGGTATACGTTCCGGTATACCGGACCGTACCCAGGGTACGTTCCGGCAGTACCCTGGGGGACATATATAGACCTTCTCAGCTCCAATGTCCTCCATCATCTATGCAGTGACCTAGGATATCGGATCTGACCTCATCCGCCGATTCATTTGTAGGGTCTATGGTGGGATAAAAGAACAAAAGTTTGTCGTACTTTATAACGAACTCTATTCGGAGTTTGATGACCTCCCGTGACCTCCAAGTCCAATGACCTCTAAAGTCAACAGCGCCTATCATACGACACTCCCGCAGTCCCGGGACCCCTGCGGACCAATTTTCAGCCCCCATGACCAACCGCGTTCGGTCGCCTACAGAGTACAGCCGGACAGAGACGAACGGGAGACGAACGGGAGACGAACAATCATCGGAAATATTAGTGTAGACGAAGAGCTTACACGTGATACGGAGAACTTGGTGTATTTAAATTTACGCACATAAAGTGCGTTATTTCTTGGCGATAGAGGGCAGCACGTAAGTAAACGTATCTGTAGCCTGCGCCAAGGGCCTGAGCGGCTGAGCCATATCCTCGATATGTGGTGAAGAGTTGAACTTGAATGTGGAATCGTAGTAATACTAATACTAAATTACTAATAGTATTTGACTGATTGAAAACTCCATGTTTCTTACTGCAAAAGTGTCGTGTGACGCCTCTAGTTCAAATAGGCGGGTGAGTAATTTGGTCAGCGAACCGAATGTGCTGCAATGTGTGCAAATTCAATTCAATTCAAACAATTTATTTAGGCATCACCATAATTTGCAATACAATGATGCAGAAAACATTATTTTGAAGGGTGAAGGGGTAGCGAAAGAACATAGGGTCATCCAGATGAGACGGGATACTAGAGAAGCGTTGCCGAAAGGAGGTGTTTATCCGAAGT